CCAGCCAGGCAAGACCAAAGTGTGAGGAGCAAGGGTTTGGCTGTTTGGGGGTGTTGAGGAGAGGGCTACATTCTGTCTGAAAATTACAGATTTTCTTTCTGATTCCTACACTCCCAGGGCTGCAGATCACATTGAGCATTTCTGGGATGAGAGGAGCAACTTCACCCTAACCCAGGCCATGAACAAAGCCTGGTGAAGATCTCAAGCACTTCTTCCCCCTGTTCATGAGGTGGCCAGTGGTTTTTTCACTACAGATCTAGAAGTGGAAGCAGAAGCAATAGAAACTCCCAGAGTGGCAACTTTCAGTACACAGCACAGTTCCTACGGGGTTAAGAGCAGAAGATGCAATTCTCGCTCTTGAGGACGTGACAGGTGATGTCTTATCCCTCTCCTTCTGCCTTTCCATATTCTGGCACAACTATAACAAATTCCAGGCCTGCAGCAGGAGGTCAGAGGAAAAAGCCTTTGGTGATGGAGGCCACTAGAAGCACACCAGGTTGCCCAAGATAACTTTGAAGTTCCACTGGAAGTTTTTGAGCTGACATCTGTCAGGAACAGTTTTGCTAGGAGCTGGCAGCTTCTGGATGGGTCTCGGGGCAGAAGACAGACCCTGCCAAACTGATTTCTGTGCTGAAACTTTGAAGTTCAGTGTTACTCATTTCAGAGGGCTGTAGTGAAGACAGACATGTCATGTCACAGCCTAACAGTGACACCTGGCAGTGCCAGCACCTGCCCTCAGGGCAGGGCAACAAGGAAAACCTTCACTGGTCCCACAGCAGAACTGGAAATGGCACCACTTCTCTGGTCTCATCTCTAGAAATAAACAACCTGCTCTAGTTTTGAGCTTGGCCCTTCTTTCAGCAGGGAGTGGAACAGCAGCCTCCAGCCAGGAACAGGGATGAGCTCAGCTGCTCAGAGCACGGTGCTGGTCTGATCTCCAGATGGGCCGTTCCCTTAAGTGCTGGACTCCTTGTGGCTCCCTTCCAACTCAGAATTTTCTGTGATCCCTTGCAGCTCCATGACCCAAGCAGCCTATCAAGCATCATTTCTCACAAAAACACTTCATGGGAAAGTGCTTTGAGAACGTGTGCCTTTCAGTTTTCAGAGCTCTGCAACGCAGCTGACACGGGTTCCTCGCTCAAGCCTTTGTTGTGCAGCAGACAAACACCAAATAGCCCACTGTCAGTGTGGAATAGATGACTTGGCTCTTCAGAACACAGCTCAGACAAACAGGAGGGAGATTCTAGTGCCACACACAGAATTTTGTTTCAGAACCCGCCTGTGATGCTGTCGGAGGCTGGGTGCTTTCTACAGATCTGAGATCCTCAGAGCTGCCCCAGAGTTTCTAGCAAACAAACTCGATGCTTTCATTTTACACCAGAAGCATCACAGCTATCTGGGAAATCTCCCTCCCACACCCCACAGTCTGTATTTTGGGTGGCTTGATGAGCTCACCACCATACAGTTACTAAGGTTAAACAATGCTTTTAAAAACTCTCATGTAAAAGCCACTGAGGTCAACTTTTCAGCTCAGGCAGGCTTTGACCAGCTTCAATACAGAGAAACAAAGCAGTCAAAATAAGAGGAGCAAAAGAAATAGTCCATCTTTTGTCCCCTCTTAACCTCTCACTGCCAGACCCACCTACAGCTGCTCCCATCCTACCAGGCCCTGCTGCACTTGTGTCCTTGCCTTTCCCAGTTTCTTCAAAATCCTAAGATGATCTCCTCATGAAGAGAGACACCAGTAGACACTGCTTCTTGCTCTGCCTGCCTCCACAGCACATCCCAAAGGCGATGCAGGAGAGCCAGGAACACCTGGGCAGCTGCACATCCCTTGTTACAACACTGGTGCAACATGAACAGTCACAGGGGTCAGGAAAGGAACTTCTAAAAACAGTAACTGCAAAGAAACATCAGGGATCTGCATCCTCCTCAGTCCTGGGGGGTACAACAGAGAAGAAAACTTCACAAGAAGTACAACAGGCCTCTCATCCAAATACATTCCAAACAGGAAAGCCAGAATAAAGTGGAACCATGGGCTTCCCCTTTCATATTCCCCCAGAAGAAGCTGTTTCAATTCCATTAACCTGAAGGCACAGCGAGTCCAACTTCAGCAGCACCTCCAGGTTATGTAGTAATTAAGACACTTTAATGGAATTTTCTTGTTATAATAAGCCAGTTTCCCACAGCTGCCTCAGGAATAGAGAAGAGCACCTGAAACCCAGGTGGAGTTTCTCCTTTTACACAGTGATCTGCACCTCTCCCACGTGGAGAGGTGTGGCTGCACAATTTCATAACAAAGTAATACAAGGCTGTGTATTTTTACAAGGAAGTGATAGGAGAGATTTGTTCATGCTGCATATCCAAGGAGCTTCCAACACCAAGCCCCTTTTTGCTTTGTTTTGTCACAGTTTCTAATCAGAAGCTCTCCTGGTAGAAGAGGACCAATGTCAGCTTAGAGAATTGCTCATCTTCACAAGAGCCCACCCCAGAACCAGTTAAGGAAAAGGATCCCACAAGCTGCAAGAGAAGCTGGACAAGGCCTCTGGAGCCTGAGCTCAGGAGGGAAACTACCTGAGAGGGGAGGGCAAGGAGGCAGATTCTCCATGCTCATAAAAAAAGACAAGAGCACACCTTATTTAAAACCAACTCTTTCCACTCTCACGTTTATTTTTCCTAAAAACAGTCCTTGCAAACGTGTCTTGTTTCTCTTTACCAGTTCAGTGGCATTGCTGCAAGTACTCCAGGGCACATGACTCTGGGGAAGCAGAGGAAGTGTCCCACAACTCAGTCCCGTTTCCATAGGAAAAGCTGACTCATAAATCACATCATCCTGGAGATGCTGACACAGGTTTGTAAGGAGCATCCAAAATGACAAGTGCCAGGAGGAGGCTGGAGCCACCTGAGGGCTGGCAGGGCTGCCCAGCTCTAGCAGAGCAGGAGGCCCTCCTTGGTCGCCAGGCGCTGCCGATGGATCTTGTCCTGCTGCAGCTCCTCGTGGTTTGGGTGCCAGAGTTTCATGACAATCCTCTCAATGTTTAGAGCATAGACAGTGTGTGCAGGGATCACTTCTTTGTGCACCTGGAAATGCATGGTGGGAAACAAGCTGCACACTTAGCAGGGGATAACCCGCCCCCTAGCACAGCATGCCAGCTCAGCAGTGGGAACACAGGGAGCCTCGCAGGGAAAGCTGCTCCCTGCCAGCACTGCCACCTCTTACACCACTTTCTAAGGGACTGCCATAGTAAGGCAGTAGTCATTTTGTTTGTGGCAATCAATAATTGGTCACCAAAACCATAGAAACAATTCTGACTAAACATGAGATGAGCGCTTGATTCCAGCTCTGGTCTGTATCCACAGCTGTGAGACAAAATCCCGAGGCCTGTTCACAACAGCAGAGATCAAGGGGCAATTTCTCACAGCTAATTTTAGACATTCAAACTAGGCAATGCCCCCACAGCTGCTAGAGAAGGAGGGAACCACAGCCAGCCATTTCCCCAACGAAGATCCACCCAGCTGACCTCAAATGCCTCCCTGGGGCTGGGGTGATCACGGCTAACCCACTGCACTGGCCTGCATGCCAGGACCAAGTGCTCCTCAAAGTATCCACGTGGAACATGAGGAGTGAGAAGGGACGTGCCAGGTAAGTTATTTTTGCTGCAGCACTGTCAGAATCTACCCAGCTCAGTCCTGGTGTAATCACTGCAGCCTTGCTGCAGAGGAAGAGTTCACCCATCTTGCACAGCTGTGAGAGAGATTTCCTCATCAGCTCTGTGACCAAGGGGACCAGAGCAGGCATTAAACCGTGAGTTAACAGTGGGAACAAATCAAAGCCAAAGAATCTGAGAGGCAAAGAAGGAAAGAGACTATGGGAAGAGAAAACAAATCCCCCCTGCATGCACCTAAACCACACCTAAGACCTGGCACCCAGGACAGCGCCGCTGGTGACACGAAGGTGTGACAGGACCAGCTTACCTGCAGAGCCTCAAAGAGGTCGTACATGTTGACTGGAGGCAGGGATGCTGGCAGGGTGTCCCCAGAGCAGGCCAGGAGCAGGGCTGCCTGCTGCTCAGCATCGTCAGGAGCGGGAGGGGGAGCCAGGCCCTGACCCGCCGAGGGCGTCGCGCTGCTCGGGGGGCTGGGGGCAGAGCAGGCAGGAAAAATCCCAGTCACAAAAGCAGCACCAGCTGTGGCTGTCACACAGCTGGAGCCCTGATGTTCTGCACCATCTGATGTGGTGTATGTGTACATAAAGTCATTTCAGCTCTAATAAAAATTTCTTTCAAATTCCAGCTTAACAAGGAGCGTGGACTGACCCCCAACATGCTCCAGCCCTGCTTAAATGGTCTCAGTTGTGCAAACTTTTGTTACTGGCAGCCAATAGTTTCTACCCAGCATAAAAATTAAGGCACAGACAACAATAAACTGAAACACTGTCCGTTAGGCAGAGTTGCTTGTAGTGTACAACCAAATCTTCAAACACCCACGACCTCCTGTCAACTGCTAGAAGCTGCCACAGACAAACAAAACTGCCTTCTGTACACAGAAGTGTACACTGCACAAACTCTTTGAGACTCCCAAGAGGAGGACCTCGAAGCCCTGCTAACTGGAAAGATGTGCCAAGGAACCACAAAGACATTTGGATGCAGGAAAGGACAGGATGGCAGTGTCCTGCAGCTCCTCCCTGACATTTCAACCCTGTGGCACAACAGCTGGGCCTCTACAAAGACAGAGAATTGCTGTGCTACTGGAGTTTCCAAAAAGCAGTCATAAACTGCTGGACAAGCAGAGGTGAGGGAGAGAGATGTAACATGAGATGTTAACACTGCTCTACAGTTCAGTGCTGGGAATCCCCACACTCCCACTCCTCCATACCAATGCCTTCCTAGTGTGTGAAAGCAAGATACCATCAACACACATAAAGAAGAAACTAAGCCATGGAGTAAATTTCAAGACTAGCAAAACCCATGTACATTATCAGCGTGCTGCCAGCTCCTTACCACTCAATTAAGTTGTTATAAGCAACAACACTGTTCTTCAGATATGGCTGAGGGTTGACATTGCTTCCAAAGGCATACTTGAAATGGCCATCCCTCAGACGATAGGCTTTCCTCCTGGATATCACAGAGGTCAGAATGTCCTTAAGGTGGTTCTGCAATGAAAAAACAGATCTTGTGACATGTGCTGATTTATTCACTCGTGGCTAAAAGGGCCTCACCAACTGGCAAGACAGAAGCAGTGCTGCTATGACCACAGGGATCTAAAGATGGAAGGGCAGCAATATCTGGACAATCTACAGGATGTTTTCATTATCAAACACTTGGATACAGGGAACATGGCACTTCGTAAGCATCAGCCTGTGAACTATACTTTAATATGTGATGTCCTGCTTCAAATGTCAAAGGGGTGTCTTCAGTGCTAGGAAATTCCCAACCTCTGGTTAAGATCTCCTAACTGACACTAGATGTTACACTTGAACTGAAAGTCACACCCTGAAATGACAGTGAAAAGACACTCACTCATCTTTTTCATTTGCCTGAAAAGTGCTGGAGAAGGAAGAGTCTGAAAAAACAAAAGCAGACAACTTCTTAATTTGGCCTTACTCCCAGATGGGGAACTCAGGCTGGCCTCCACATGCTGAGCACAGAAAACCATCCACAAGCCAATGCTCCAAGCAGTGGCTGTGTCATTCCTGGGATCTGTAAAGTGATGCACCACCAATAGCCAAAGCCAAACCAGCTCTCACCTGCAGGTATCACCTGATCCTGCCCCTTCATGGCCAGGCCAGACCCTGTGCCTGTAACAGATTGCTTTTTATAGAATTGATCAAGCTGGCATACCCATTTTGTCCCTGCTTTTAAGTGACAGGAACAGCATTTCCCACAACAGCTACTAAAGCATGCCTGGGGTACTGTGCAAGTACATCAAAACTAACACTTGCAGGCAGAAGTCCAAGACTTCACATCTAGGGCCTGAGATTCTCCATTCTCACAGTGCTCTGGGGCAACTGGAGAACAATCAGAGCAGCAGGTTCCCACCCCAGGCTGCACACAGAGCCTTTTGCTGCTGGTGTCACCAGCCCACTGCTGCCCCCCAGCCCAGCCTCACCTCCACAGCATAAACAACAGCTGTCACCGCCTCCTCGGTGACATTGTCCAGCCCGTGCTCATAGGCAGTGACAATCATCCTCCCTTCCAGCTGGCCACGTGTTGGGAGCATCATGGTGTGAGAGCACAGCTTCAAATCATCATCCTCCTGAGGATCCTTTGCCACGAACTGCTGGGCTCCCGACAGCGGGTTCTGAGGCTGGAACCGGTGCTGTCACAAACACAACGTTCAGGGGTAAGATAATATTCATTCAGACCCTTTGGTTCATCAAGGGGACATCCCTTCCCCAGTCAGAAAGCCTACACCTATAAAAAAAATCCTCAAAAAATCCTCCCCAGTGACTTGTGACTGAAGAAATTGCTAAGTCAGTGTTGGTATCCTTTCATTGGACTTGTCCAGTAGCACCCCAAACCACCTGAACTTTGGGTATCCACAACACACTGCAGCAAGTTCTACACAGCACATGAAGACTCACCTGCTCTGGTCTGCTCTGTACTTCCCTACCTGCTAGATTTGATTCTCCTGGGAGTCCCAAATGTGGTCAGTGACTGTCCTTACCTCCCTTCACACCACCCAGGCCAGTGACTGGACTTTCACATCTCTCAGACACCTTTTGTGTTGAAGAATTCTCATCTATTTAGTCATTTCTGGTACAGAAGGGTGTATTTTTTACTTACTATCTGTACAGTTTCCCTGCAGATTAAAACCCATGATCCTAAACTTGTGTGATTGATTCTTACACTTCTCTAATGCTTTAAACTTAGCCCAATTCCAGCACTGATTTCATACTCCAGCCTCCCTGTGTACTTTCACTACTGTAAGCAGCGCTATGTTACAGAGCAGCCACTGAGATAGATTATGACTATTTTACAAAACTGACTTGGTTATTTAGGGTAAAAACTCCTCACAGAACAGGAATTCATACCAGAAGGTGGCATTTCCCAGGCCACAGGTATTCCAGCACAATTCCTTGGCTGCATTGTGTCTCAAGCTCTGAATGCCTGTGATTGTTCCTCAGACCCCTGATAAAGAGGGGGAACAAAGCAAATGGAAATTATTGATCCTTGAGCCCAGCCATGTGCTTGGCCCAGCTCTAACCCACAAGGGAACAAGACTCATCATACTCCCACAACTCCTGACCCTTTACTGCCTCTGGAATGGAGATTGCTGCAAGGCTCTTATGGGGCACCAGGACAAACACACACACTTTAAATAAGAACAATGAATATGCAGCAAAGTGGATTTCTCACATCTTAGTTTCAGGGGAGAAAGAGGGGCTGCTTTAGTCAAAGGACAGTGTGGCATTTAACTCAGAGTGAAAAACCTATCCACCCACTGCTGATGTGAAAGCAGGTTTCCCTCCCCACAATTCTAAAGCTTGATGCTTTCATTACAGGAAAGTCACATGCCTGGAAAAAAAAAAGACCTCCAAAACGTAAGCAACTCTCAAGAGGAATGTGGTTTGGGAGAGGGGAAGTCAACTGGGATTGACCTGTGGTCATTCACAGCTGTTATTCTGACCAGTGAGGGAAACATTATGAAATACCAAGGCACTTCCAAGTTCACACTAGTCAGAAATTCCACTAGTACCAGACAAGCCCATTTATCATAAGATGCACTTCATACAGTGCTTACTGCCAAGCATTCCTGAACACGTGTATAAACACACACTGGAAATCTGCTGTATCCTAGGGGGAGTGAGTAAATCAAACTCTAAGATTTCCACTACACCACAACTTGCTGCTCAAGCTCTCATCTACTGAACTGAAGAGTTACAGTGAGGTTTGAAGACAGGCAAGATAACACAGACAGAATTCAGAACACCACAGTTCAGCTTGCAGCTGTGAGCACTGCAAAGTAATTTGACAATTTCCAGCCTTTCCAATTTGGAGCCTTCAGCTGGACTTGCATTCCTTTGGAACACTGGTCTGTGAGGCACACACACAGAGTGCCTAATCATAGTCCCTAAAAGGGCACTTTGCACCTTGTCAAACCCTGCCTGTTGAAGAGCGTGCCTGAATAAATAAATAAATGGTAAATTACTTGTTTTAGGAATTTGGCAGATGTGTAAAGAGGGCCACAGACACTTACATCAAACTTTTGGCGAACAGAAGAAATCTTTTTCTTCCCTTTAGGTTTTCCAGGTTTAGTTGCAGAGCCACCTGGCCATGGCAGGGATCCAGCACCTTCTACAAATTGAAAAGAAAAAAACAAAACCAAAACAAAATAAAACAACAACCAAACAAAACCACTCAGTTGGTGTTGCTGATCAACAGCCATGGAACAAAGGAAGGTCTTTTAAGGGGAAAACACTTTTGGCAGCCCCTTGCTACTTTGACTCACTCACAGCACCCATGACTTATGTAGCAATTTCTGCCCACACACCACACAAAACCCATGGTGAAAGGAGAGAGAGATGCACAGCCTGTGAGAAAATCCTAAAGGAAGGAACAAACCATTTATTCCATCAGGAAGGTAAGAGCTTGCCTGGAGGTGGGTTCTCCTCTCAACCACTCCTGGATCAGGCCAGACGCTAAAACCATGTGAACTGAGCAGTCTGACTCCCCAGTTCTCCTTCAGCTTCAGCAAGCTTTGTCACAGATCCTTATTAAACATCACAGCTGATTGTTCTGTTACACTGAAGAGAAGGAGGGGGGGAAGAACTGCAGAGGCCACTGAGCCCAGGAACAGGATGTCACTAATGTAAACAAATAGCTGAAAAAGAGGTTCCTGTTTGGTACCAATAAATAAATACATTTGGTCACATCATCAGCTCAAAAGTCCACGAAATGCTGTCTGACAGCTACACCTACAGCAGTCCAAACCACATCCTGATAATCACACAGCTCTTGGCAAGGACAGCCAGCCTAGCAAATTTCCTGCTGGCAGGTTTCCAGCATGTTTGAGCAATTAATTCCTTCAAGAACATTGGGAACACTGGCTTAGGACAGCAGTGCATTGGATGTGTGTGTGTGCTTGCTGGCAGGGAACAAATGCAACTCAGAGACTGGGCAGCCCCCTCGTGGCTACAGAGCAGCCCCTGCTGTGTGCCTCCAGCACCCTTCTCCCCTGGTTTGGCACTCGAGTGAGCATCCTTTTCCTCTGGAGCAGAGCATGCCCTGAGCGTGCCCCACCTCCAGGGAGCTTGGACAACTCACCCTGAAGGCAATTCTGACAGCACAGCAATGTCTTGGACATTCCCTGGCCACAGCTCAGCCAGAATGTGCCATTTCCTCCAGACAGGGACAAGAAGTGACAGCAGCCATTCCACATCTCAGCATTGAGCCTCACTGAGCACTGACCCACACCCAGCTGTGGTTCTCTCCTGTCTCACCATCTTCACACCAATCTATGGGTTTATCTCTGGCTGGCCCAACTATGCTTAATTTGCTGAAGTCAAGAATGAAGTATGTTTAATTTGCTGTAGTCAGGAATTCACAAAAGAGTTATAGCACAGTCCTGTTTGTAAGGAATGAGGCTGTCTAGAAGTCCTTGGCTTGGGGGAGCTCCCCACACTCACAGCTGGAGCACAAGCACCGTGTCCTCTGCTATATAAAAAAAATTTCTATCAGGATCAGGCTCAAGTAAAGGATTCAGGTGAAATTTCTGCATTTCAGCTGCTAAAAAGGAATTAGAAACAACCCCCACACACAGAGAGGGCACATTCCCCCTAATTTTTTTTTTAAAAAAAGCTGACCAAGAAGTCTAGCTCCATCCTATTAGAGAGGTGGGAACCCATAGCCTACAAACCCTGTTGTCAAAATCCACTGGTCAATGAAATAAATTAAAAGCTAAAAAATAAAATCTCCCCAGAAATTGTAAGGATGGTGTCACTACCCATCAATACATCACAGGAGGGGCCCTAATAATGTGGAGAACCACATCAAGTATTACACAGCTCCTTCACAGCCTCATTTGTGACCAGAAAAAGTGCAATGGATGGAGATGGAAATTGCAAACACTCTTTTCTCTGACAATGTTCTGCAGATATAATAGGTTACAGATAAGTCTGAGTTCTTAAAATAGCTTTTTTAAGAAAAATAATAATTTTTAAATTTTAAGTTAAACAGAAACTAAATTTTTAGGATTTGACAATAGATCTGAAAGATGCAACTTAATTGAATCTCAACGTGCACATTTAACAAGAACTTAGCCAAATCAGCTTGAAACAAGGAAAAGGGGAGATACAATCTCCTATTCCCCACTATAATGAGCCCATAGCAGAATTTTTGGTTCCTTTTCCAGGTTTTCATATTACCAACCCTGACTTGCACTAGATGAAGAAAGCAAAATTTCCCTCTAGCATTCTAAGAAAACCAGTACTTGCCTTCCTGGCCACAAATGACAAGGCTGGGTTGGCTCAGGCATGAAACTTCAGAGATGTCTGCAGCTTTTATTTAATCTTGCTGGCAAAGGAATCAGACCTTAACAAGCCACAGCAGTGGCTGCTGCTGCTCTGCCTTCAAAGATCAGCAAGAGATAAAAACCATTTTTCTAGGAGCTGCCACATCTCTGCATGGCACCATCGTGGTGGCACCAGCCAGTCCAGACAGAGCCTGCCAGGTCTGCCTGATGTGCTACGTGAGGAAAGGACAAAGATGCAGGGAAAGTCACCACAGAAAGCAGCAGCCAGAGAGAAAACACACATTTCCCATGCCTGTTTACTTGATATTCATTTTGGAGGGGGCTGTTTGTTCTAATCCTCTTGCAGGAGCAAGGGTTTTGGTCACATATTCTGCTGACTCTGCCAAAGACTCACACTCCCATTTTCTTACTTTTCCTCACTTCTCAGTTCCCTAGAGAGAAGCAAACACAAGCAACCTGAGCCAATCTTACAGCTGAAGGCCCTCTAAGCAAAGCCTGTGGACAAACCTGATGAACTCAAATGCTCCTGTTATTCCACATGAGCTCTAATTCGCTGAATCATCTCTTAATTGGCTCCACACTACTACTAAATAAATTAAATCCTTACATCACTAACTCAAGTGTTTGCAGTTGTCTCAGTTTTAGTGCTAACATTTTAGCTAAGAAAGGAGGGAACAGTTCAAGCAAGGTACAAATTAACTCATTAACCTTGCTACCCTGAGTGCTTGCAACTGTCCAACAAACAAGGTCAGCTCAGTGAGCAAGCCCATGCAAGGTTAAGAAAGGATTTAAACCAGAGTTCCTCTTGATGAAATTTTTTGGGGAATAAAGAAATCCCAGCATGCTGGTTTGGGGTGGAAGAGGGTTAATTTTTTCCATAGTAGCTTGCACAGGATGATGCTTTGGATGTGTGCCAAGAGCAGTGTTGGTAACACTGGGATGTTTTCGTTCCTGCAGAGCACAGAGTTGAGGGATTTGTTCCTCCTCACTCCACCCCACTGAGAGGGGACACAGCCAGGAGAGCTGACCCCAACATGCTCATCCTTCACATCAGAACAGACAACACAGCTCCCTCCCTCTGCACCACTAATCAATGTCCCGTGCCACAGAGGCTGAGGAACTGGGATTTGAAGTTGTTTGGGTGACCAACAGCCTGAGCAGATGAGAGGGGGAAATGCAAAGAATCCTCAAAAAGGGTGACATGCACTATTCACCCCTAAATCCCAGGTGAAAACACTACAACAGCTGGGGTCAGACGGGTTTGTCTGCATGGTTCAACATGTGTTATACTCACTCCTGACAAATACCTTCCCCAAGGGCTCTTATTCTGATGCAATACAACATCAAGTACAATTTTACCACACGATTACTTTTTTAAATACAGAATAACATTTTAAGAATGGTTCTTTCCCCTTGTTTCTCACAGCAAGGTGGAAAGTACATGCATCAGTAAACCCTTGTGATGGCATGCCAAGTGCCTCAAAAACACTTCTTTAAAGTCACTCATTTCCATGAATCATGAAGTAAACACCTTCCACCCAAAAGACAGTGGTTGAAACAAAAGCCTGCTAGCTTTCCATTCTTATATAGAGAAAACAAAAGAAAAAAAAAAGAGATAAGAAAAAAACAAACAAACTACAACAAAAAAAAACCTAGCAGGTGTCAGACTGGCATCTAGCAGAAAGAAAAAGAAATCTAGATGTTAACAGCTAGTATTTTCTAGCACTCATACTGCATTTTCCTGGGCTTGCATGTACCACCCTACACCACACACAGCTGATAGTGAGATCTTGCCTGCAAGAGATCTCTACCAGTCAGTGGCTCAGAAAGAGTTACCTCAGCACAGATCAGCTCCCAGATCATTGGGAGACTCTGCACTAATCTGTGGACAGCAAAACTGAACCTTAGAAGGGACTAGCAGAATGCACTGTGAGCTCCAGAGCACCAAACCACATCTTTAAGAGCACACAGCCATGATTAAACTGACTTATTTCAAGCTGGCTTCTGCAATCTGAGGACACAGAGCTAGCCAAAGCTCGCCTAAAATCCCTGGAGGTGACCAGCACTGGGAAAGGATCCTGGCCAGCTGGCTCACCACTGACTGCTGAACCAGGGTTCTTGAGAGCTCTGGAAAGAGCAGCTGCAATGGAACAAGAGAAAACCTCCAGGGAGTTGAAATTCAAGAAGGTCAGGCAGGAAATAATAATGAGCTTATGGAAAGCACCTATGGAGCAGCACCCTGCTCTGTGCTGAGGCTCCTGCCTTCAACACCATCCTGAACAGCCTTCAAAAAGGGACACCTGGGAGGGTTTGCTGACAAATCCTGACCAGACAGATGCATGCCATGACTAAGTGGCACAAAGAGACTGGACAAAGAGACAAATGCCATTCAGAGCTGAGCCCAGAGCGTGCACACAGGAATAACAAACCCAAACCTCAGCCACATGGCAAGAGATTCTAGCCTGACCACTGCCTCTCAGAAGCTGTGAACCCCAGCCCAACACTCACAGCACCTCACTGCTGAGCTCAGAGAGCAGGCACTGAGTCCCTCCCCCTCCTCAATTAGATTCAGGTGATAATCAGGGGAAATCACTGTTCCTGTGTGCTCTTTTTAAAATCCAGCTGTAATTAATTACCCAAAGTTAAAAGCAAGGAGCAGCAGATCGAGACAAAAACCTTTGGATTTAGATGAGTCCAGACCCCTAAAGGGAACAAGTCTAGGACACACAAGGTGTTTTTTGAAGTTCAATCAAGAGCAAACAAACCAAGTTTGGAGGTGGAGGCAATTAACAATTAATTAGCACAGCTGGTAGAGTTAAGGACCAGCTCCAACACAAAAACCTGTGGGCATGCATGAATTTTGTAGGCACTATTTCCTCTAGCTACAACAGGTATTCTCTTAAAAGTCTTGTCTCTCAGCCCATGTCAGCTGTAACAATTTTCTCCCCCTTCCTACACAGCAGCTCCACATCTTGAATTGCAGCTCAGTTGCCTTTGCTACCACGTCTTTGGGTTGAGAGGTCTTTTGGAGACCAAACAAAGCACATTCTAGACACTCACAAAGTTAAAATGTTATTCTAGATGCTCACAAAGTTAATATTTTAACTATCTGCAGACGACTGGGTTAATTTGTCATAGCTCAACCGAGGCTCCCTGTAAGCACTTTTCTATCAGATATGTACTTAAAATCAAGATCAGTCAGGAATACTCAGCTCTCCACAATGACCAGGAGCAAAATTCAGAGGAGAAAGAGGTAAGCAAAGCACATCAAAGAGAAAGTTGCATCAGACACCTAATCCAGAAATCAACCCAGATTATCACAGGCAGCAATCCAGCATCAGCCTCTAATTAAGCACACACAGCTTGGTCACAGAAGGATCTCTACTGAAATCAGCTGAAACACTATTTGGCTACATTTTTACCTGTGTGGCAAAAAAAACAACCCCATGAATATTAAGGCTGAGAACATCAGGGTGCTGTGCACACACACCCCAAACACACCAGTGGCAGGCACAGCGCTACACCAAGTGTTTAATGAGGCTTCTCAGGACTCACCTGGGGCAGAAACCAAGATCTGGCACCGGGTGAGAATAGCCAGGAGGAAATCGTTGTGAGAGTGGACTGTGGAGAGAGAGAGAGACAGACAGAGAGCTCATTAGCAGCTCATCAGTACCCAGAGGCACCCCCTCAAAGCCATCCTAAAGTAGCTCCCTAAGCTTTCCCACTGTTGTATTCATTTTCAATTTAAGTTTTTTTGAGAGTTTTCTTCTACTGGGCTGAGAATTTACCACTGTGACATCACCACAAAAGACACTACACACAGCAGGGAGACAACTGGGTCACCTCTCAGTGTTACACACACTGTTGTTATTCCTGTGTGTTACAGCTACTTGACAAGTCTGGTGTATTCAGGCAGTCAAAGGAGCAGCTGAACCTCTTGCCATGCAGGCACCCCCCACTGCAGCGCTTTTGGTTTTGCTAGAAAATCCAACAAAACGAGAACCAGCCCCACACAGATGAAGACAACTCAGATGGGTTCTAATAAAACAGGACTTCATTGCAGAGGTTTTCTGGAACATGGAGGAATTGTGCATGAGAGAAAGTGAAAACACCTTCAGAGGCAGGATCAGAGGGTTACAGGATCCTCTTTGGAGTCTGAGCACCAAAAAACTCCCTGCCCTTCCCTACAGAGATCACGAAGCCAGAGACCCCACGAGGAGCTCAGCAACACCCAGCCACGTTTGCAGACACACCGAGGAGCAAGCATGGAGGAATCTCACCCTCCAGCACTCCCAAAGGCCAGGAAGGACCTGCACGCTGCAAAAGCACCCAGGTGAATCCAGGCCTCCCTCCCCTACTTCAGCTACCACCAAAGGAAAAGTACACAAAGGATTATGTCTCCACAGTGACATAAAAAAAAAATAGGGCTTTTTGGTTGCTCGATCAGCGCGTTTTACATTTTTAACACATTTTAACGCAACTACAAATAGCCGGGGTTACACAGGGACTTCCCCATACAGGTCAGGGCACCTCCCACCATTTTAACCCCACTGCTGCCGGAGCCCCGGCCTCCGCTGTTTCCCTGACAAGCACCGCAGAGCCTGGAGGAGCTTCCCAGGCCTGGCAGGGAAACACCAGGGGTTATTTTACCATTGTCTTGCGTGAGAAGCCTGCGTGCTTCCAGGTCAAACTCCTCCTTACTGATCTTCTGCTTGAACCAGAGCTTCAGGTTGGCCCAGTACCTCGGGAAGAGCAGGGGATACAGAATGAGTACGGCTGGAAAAGACCTCCGAGACCACCCAGATCAACCTGGCACCACCACTGTGTCAGCCAGAGCACTGAGCACCTCTGGGTGATGCCTCAAGTTCTGGCTTTCGTATTTCCCAGGTTCTGTAGTGCATTGGTAACTCTGAGCTCCATATGAAGTGTCAGCAGGGTCTCCTCACAGCTCAGGCACACACAACAATCCTTTTCCAGCCCCACAACCAAGGACACCGCTGCAGCTCCAGCCCCAAAAAGCACAAATAACAGCAAATTGAGGAGAGCCATCTGGGAGGATGGGACTGCATCACCTGCAGCTGGAATGGGACAATGAACCCCAACACGGAAACAGAAAAAAAACTTATAAAAATGTGAAAACTGGTGCCTTGGGGCTCATCTTGGGCGTAGCTTTGGCCAGGCTCTTGCACTGCCCAAGGTGCATCCTTTGAAGGCCTTTTAATAAATCCCTACTTTATTCCTTTAACTCTCTGTACCCCTGTTCTAGGTCGCCTCTGAAGGCATCACGGTGCGGTGTAGAGGAGGAGAAGCGCCGTTCCCACACCGGGCAGCAGCGCCGAGCTTTGACACAGACACAGCAGAAACGGGAGGGGCCGAGAGGGTCTCGCAGCGCTCAGCCCCGGCCCAGCCCCGCAGCCCGCGCTCCCTGAGGGCACTCACTGCTTCACGTTCTCGCCCAGCGCCTCGCTGAGGCTCTTCTTGGCCGCCTCCAGCTCGCTCACGTAGGTCGCCATCACCGCCGCCGCCTCAGCGCCGTACTGAGCAGCAGCGTCAGCGAGCAGCGAGGCCGCCTGGCCGCCTCACCCCCCTCCGCGCGCCGCGG